AATAATAATAGACAAGAGTAGAATAGTTGTCTTGTGGTTGTAGCTAAACTTATCGAAGAAAAAATTATTAAAATTATTATTACAATTTTCTGACTGATTGTGAGCACTCTTTTTATCCCCTAAGGACTATTACGATGCCTTATACACTTTAAGTAGTTAATATTTCTTAAACATAACGTGTGTATACATTTAAAAATACTGTGTCTTAATGAATAATGCGTAACGCACGAAAGAAACTAAAATTTCGTGGAGAAATAAATTATAACTTCTTCAATGAACAGAAGAAATTAAAAGTTACGTATCATCTCGTCTACCGCTTTAATAACACAAAATAAAAAGGATTTACAGCATCCATTCGAAAATGATCAGTAAGATACATGAATGTTCCTTTTACGGCAATTCTTTTGATTTTATAAAATGCAGAGCCTTTTTGTGTTTTTGTTTCTGTGTCTTGTGAAATCTTACTAGTCTCTTTTTATGAGATATATAATAATTCGAATTAATGTAAGCTTTCTTACATAAATGACAAGGAATTCCGAACCCACAATGATAAGCTTTGTGTTTAGACTTTTCCTGCGTTTTGTATACAATGTTACAAATAGAACAACGCGTTGGATGCTTTTTATTCCAATGGATTTTTCGATCTGCGTCTGTACAAAATCTTTCCGGACATTCAAAACATAAATATGGTAATTCATGGTTAAAATGTTCATTTGTTACGTGTTGATCAAATTCTTTATACGTTTTACATACGGCTTTGCAAAAATAACAAGTTAACTCCATCAGTAAATCAGTGAATTCTTTACCCTCAACAACGGTGCACTCATGCAAATACCACGTACTAACATCGGGAAAACATTGTTTGCAATAACCACATGTCATTGTATGTGCTTGATTCATATGAATATCAAAACTTGTTTTGGTATACAATTGTTTACCGCAGTTGCAATCATGTTTACATAAACACATATATTTCTCTTGTGTTTCATTAATTATTTTTTTGGAACGGAGTTCCCATTTTAGAGGTTTTGAATTATTGTCCTTCCGATGTGGTTCGCGGTCTACTTCTGCTTTTATATTTTTAGGTGCCTTTTCAGTGCCAGAAGCTTCTTGATTTACTTTACTCTTACTCTTAACTTCCAAAGTATTATTACAAAAATCAGTTTGTGAATTGCCTTCAATATCGATCTCTATATCCTCTTCGACACATTGAATTTTTAAAACAGTATGGTTTTCACTATAATCAAATGATACGTCTAAGGTATCTACATGATCTTCTGGCTTCTGATCAGAAATATCTGACGATTCGTCAGTATGGTCTGATTTATTATCACTTCCATCCTCATGAACAACTTTGGATGTGTCGTTCTTTTCCTTGATTGCCATAGTAATTCCACTCGAAGAAATTTCATCAGAATTACTTTGCGTAGGACACTCCTGTATTTTATTTCTACTTTCCCTTGCTATTTCCTCATTCTTATCATTATTTTCTACCTTGAGATTTTCCACTTTTTTATTTGTATCCAAATTAGAATTGTCTTTATTACTCTCAGTGGACTTATTTACAGATGTACAAAATGAGCTAATTAATCTTAATTTATTAATTTTCATTTCCGTCTTCCGTGTATACATAGCAGAATTGTAATATTTGGCTTTGGATAATTTAAAATTTTCTCGCGTTTCGCCACGCGCTCGGTGCAAGCGAACGTGTCCGTAAAGGCTACTTCTTTTATAAGTGCCTAAACAAACTTCACATTCGTATGTATCTCTCACTTCTTCATCTCTTATTCCACGAGTGTTATTCTGTCTCTTGTTACCAACATCAAGTTTACGTTTCTTATTAGGATTTATGCATGATGCGCCTGCATCTTCTTTTGAAACTATTTCACTTTCTCCTGTAGTCCTGTTCAGATTATTATGCTCTACCTTCTCACTTGCCGAATTAGGATATGCTTCAATTACGTTCTTCAACATAAAGTCTGGTGACTCAATTTTATGGTAAGTGATTAAGTGATTTTTAATATTCGTAACACTCTGGTTGCATAACACACATTCTGTCTTCGGTTCTACTTCTTTATTTAACACTTTCTCCTCTTGTTTATTTTCTACAGTTTTATTGATATTGTCGACGTGTGTTTTCCTTACCTGAATCAATGTGCGTTGCATTCTTAAATTGATGGTTGTTGAAGTTACATTACATTCTGATACAGGCTGTAATGTTCCTGATAATGGATTTTCTTCAAAGTTTCTTGCAGGAACTTTTTCTAAGTTGTTTGTGTCTTTCGTGACATTACTACAATCTTCATTAATTTTCATAGTCTTTTCATTCGAATGTCTAGAGCGGTGCTTTGGTGGTATAAAAATGTTATGTATTTTATAAGAATGACGTCTTAAGTCTCGATTACTTTTGTACTGTTTCCCACACATTACACAGTGAAATAAAGCTTTTTTATTTTTCACAACAAATTTAAAACGCGATTGTACATTACCGTTGTCGGCTGATGTTGGTTGGTATTTAATGTATGAACTCAAGGTTGTAGCTTCTGGTGGTACTACATTTGTACATGCAGGAACCAGGTTTGTGTTTTGAACATCTTTTATCATCTTAAATGTCTCCCATATTTTATCGCATCGTTCCAGCAGAACAGTTGGGTCTCTTAATTTGGGTGCAGTAAAAGGAATTGATACCTTCAATTCCTGGTCCTAAAATTGAGAAAAATTCAAAGAAGTACAATGGTGATTTGTTTAGTCCATCTTCTTGAACACAGATATGGTTTGTTTTATAAGCATAAACAATAAAATAATGTATTATGATTTTGCATCATTTGGAATAACAGGACATTAAATTGAAAACTCTTTACTTAACCCATTAAATTCTAATAAACATACACTTACGTCATTTTCCTCGTCCAACATACTTAGTGGTTCCACTTTAGGTATTAACATTGGAATCATACTTGAATTAGGTTCAGACTTTGTCGTAACTACATTTTGTTCATTAGCTGTGACCAACTGGTTAGTCGATTCACTGTCAAACATTTTAATTGAAGGCGGAAGACAACTTTGAACGAACGTTTATAAGTTTATCAACTCTATTACTTTGACTATATAATATAACGTATGCAGGTTAGGTTCCTTAGGTCCATGGCAGCATGCATCATAATGCACTATTTTATTTACCCCACCACGATTCTCTCTATCTCAATCACTAAGGAAATACTACCGCCTTAATTCGTTTCCGTTTGAACTATTCGAACAAAAGCAAACAGACAGAATCAGGCAAAAGCGAAAAATAATCCTGTCTTTCAAATTATTAATTTCGAAAAAATATTACTAAGATGAGATTTTACTGGACAAACATTAAATGTTTGAAAATACAACTGTATTGGTCTGGCACGAGCCACAAACCATCTTAATTTATGCAAATAATTCGAAACTCTAGTTAATATATGTATGTTCAATAAATTTTCTAAGAATTCGTTATTAAGACATTAGATGTGTAAAGAGTTTTATGTAAACATTAATCCGTCACTATATTATATCACGTAACACGTAATTATCTAAAGTCCAACATTTACAATGTTCAAAATACGAATAGCTAGAAATATTGAGACTAGATTATTTTATTATTCACACATGTACTATTGCATAATGAGAGTATAATTCTTGCACATGTCTATGCCAAGTAGGTCGGGAATCGTTTTGAATAACTGTGTACGTGTATTATATACACTGACATCCCCTTCAAATTACATTATATACAAAATAAGCTTTACGATAGCATTTACAAAAATTTTATAAGATTTATTTATGCTTACTCAAATTATTCTCTTTAACATTTGAAACGCTCCTAAGAAGTAAAGTAACGCTATTTAAAGTGACTAAATTAAATATAACTTGATTAATTATAGTTGAGTAATATACAAATATCAGAAAGTATGATTCCAGCTTACTATGTAAGAACTATGAATAATTAAAATGGTTTCAGTTAACTTTAAAACAGCGAAGTTTGAATTTAGAAACTTAGGAAAATCGGTATTTTTTATTTTTTTGTGCACAATACATATCTAAAATAGCTTCGTGATTGCGCCTATTTTACTTACACAATAGTCGTATCGTCAGGATCACGATAGACAAGGTCATCAGCATTGAATAACAGCATTGTGATGGATTTACTTGGTTCTTGATAAAATTGTTGTAATAATAAGTATTTGTTTCCGGTAGAATATAATATAAAGGCACAAACATCTCTTGACAGAAGTTAGTATTTATTGCGAAAAAAATGTATGTTCTCGTTATCCTTCTATTTCTTGTCACGTGCAATCTCTCTACATCCATAGGTAGTTATAATGAAGGTACTGAACAGTGTATTAATGTTAGTCTGATAAATAATTGTATACTCGCGTGAATATTTTACATAGAGGCTTACATATGTGTATAAGTAATCTAAAAACGTGTAAATAGTAAATCTTTTAACTTTATTACAGATAATAACACCTATGAGACAGATTTACAGAGTGGTGACTTTTTCCAAAGCATAAAAAACTTTTTTCATAATTTGAAGAATCAAATTCACGCTCGATTATTTGGACAAGGAACGATGTCAGTACCGGCCCCTTTACCAGCAGAAGTGTTACAGTTAGATATATCCGAATTACAAGAACGATTAGGAGATCGTGAATGGCATCCATTAAATTTATGTAAATAAATATTAAATATTATCCAGAACAAATATCTATCATATATAATAATGATCACAAGTTGATCGACAGACTTTAGTTCTTTATTACAATTCTATGTGATATTATTTTTTATAAATCACAGCAACTTTATTCATTGACCCGAATAAAGATTGGGGATTTCGCATTGACAACTGGTACTTCATTCGAAAAGAATCTATAGATGAAAATGGATTTCACAGAAATTCTGATGAATCAAATTTCCAATACCCGAGTACTATTCAACCAAAAACTTCGGTCAAAGTAGAGACTGAAGAAACTTTTGACACTACCAACGATTTAGGAATCACGGAGTCGTCGTCGATTGCTCCAACGTTGGAAATGGATAATGTGACGCCGTTAATGACTCAGGAAAGTAATTCGCCAACAACGATACCGACTATTGAACCGATAGATTCATCCGAAAATTCCTCTTTGGTAACGAACGTATCAAACTTCGGGAACAGTGCAAATGCTAGTGACTTGTTCGTGGAAGCTCCGTAGTTTTAATTGTGTGCGTTAGTAATTAATAAATTCTGCATTTTCATTATAATTTTCAATTGGGATATTATTAATTTTTATATAAAAATAAACATCTGCTTTATCAAAATACGTTTATGAAACATTGCCTTCACAATAAATGTTTATAAACAATGAGGTATTAAAAAAAGGATAGGACGAGCTTTTTCTCACCAAGAAGAATGCACGTTTATTCCGTAAAACTTATCATAATTATCTATGATATTAAATTATTATAATAATTTTTACGACCATGTAGAACAAATCGTGGCCTTCATGATGCCTTGTAGTTTTACTGTAATAAAAAAGAAAAGAACGGAAAGTTAATGAACAGTTCACTCTTAACATAAAACATCATCACACTTCTCATGCAAAATGTTCTAATTTTACTACAAGGAGAAAATAGCATACTTGTACATAGAGAAAATTGCAATGTAAACAGAAATATTCTTTAATAAAAAAGAAGAAAACACTCTTTCATCTCCAACATATTCCTCTAAATAATAAAATTAGTGTCAGTCCTATAAGACACGTAATATTTAACACAATCTAAATGGATTAAATTCGATTTCAAAATCACAAGTTCTAAAAAGCTAAATTAATTCCACTCTTAATTATATTAAAATTAGCTGGCCCAACATAATCTAAAACTTCTATGCAAACTGAACGCTAGAAACCATTGGATAAAAATTATACACAGATAATAATTCTACGAAATGATTATTGTGAATAAATTGCTAAAAAATAAAATAAATAAACTAACAAGCACTTGGTCTAATGAACAATGTGTACAACTATGACAATGCACTACAGTGCAAATCATCTAATCAAACTAAAAGGGGGAAATTCAGAAGAAAATTGCAAACAGGGAAAATGAAACTTAGAATTTTGCATGCTGACCATGTGTGAGCATCATAATTAAGTTCCCTCTTGAGGTTTGTAGTACAAATGACGATCATTTGACTACTTCCTTCCCTAGAACGTAAATAAAAAGCGTATACCACTGAATAGCATGCAAAGATTACATGTGCATTTTATACACATGCACACAACGCACGTATATAAAATCTTATGAATGCAATACATGTTATGTACTTTTAAAACATATAATTTAGACTTCTGCAGAAGAGATTGGTTTACATGAAGCATGAAAAAAGATATTGTCGATCTGCATATCAAATTAATATTACATAATTTTATTTTAATCGTATACAAATGATATTCATATAATCTGAACATTCTATAGTAAGAAAGAAAAATATATAGTATTTCAAAAGCTTTGAGCTACGTTACAG